CTACAATACTTGTTTATTATTTTATAATAATCATAACAAAACCACAAAAAAGTTATAAATTTAAAATAATCACTTTCGTTTCAATTTCACCAAATATTCATATTTAATACTAAATAACAATAATAATATACAGATTTGTTTAAATTATGTTAAAAAGTGTTTTGATTTCCAAATTCACAACTCTCCGGTAGCCGTGATCGTCTAGTGGTTAGGACCCTACGTTGTGGCCGTAGTAACCCAGGTTCGAATCCTGGTCACGGCAATGTGAAAAACATTGTCACGGCGGAGAAGTTTTTTTTTAATTAAATATTTTTTTATTAAATATTTATTTTATTATAATTAAAAGTATTTAATTATTAAAAGTAAAAATTTTTCAAACTACAAAAACAAAACTGATTTATAAATTGAATGCAAATACAAATAATTTTTAAAAATAGATAATTTTTTTTATTTCACTTTTTTTTTTATTTTTTCAAACCTTCAATTTAATATAAAAAATAATATTTAATAATAATATATATACTTATATACAAGTTATTGTAATATTTTTTCAATTGAATTAATGGTTTGTTAACTTTTCATAAATTTTGTTAAGGTGACCAGATGCTAACTATGTTACTAAAGTTTTGCACAAGCTTATTGAAAGTTTAAGTTAAGTTTTAAACTTATTATCAAATAAGTTTATCTTATTATAAGATTGTATTTTAAATATTTATCTAATGTTATAAGTAAATATATATATGGATGATATTATTGATATTATATTATTATACATACATTAAAACATACATTTTTTTTAATTTTGCTTACCTCAAAAATTTATATATAAAACCATGAGATTTTGTAATATGAAATCCAATTTAAATTGAAACATAACGAGTTAACTTATATAACAATATTACTTACGTTGTTAAAGGCGTGAGTGAAATTAGTTAAAAAAGCTGTTGTACTAGTAATATTTCGCCTTGAGAAAAAAGTTGAATCAAAAAGTTGAATCGACATTTATATGGAAAAAAATTTTAGGAAATTAAAAGAACAGTTTTTTTTATTTAGTATCACACGAGCCTTTAACTATATATTATGGAAATTCATATTTTCTGCTCACTTTTGTTATAAGTTAATAATAAGATATCTACAGCTTGCTCGGAACTTTTAGAAAACCAGTAGTTAAGTAACAAACTTGTAAAACGTTTCATTAGATACCAACTATGCATTCCTTTCAAACATATAAGTAATTATTTATAAATAAATGTTAAAAAATTTTTAATTAAACAAAATTTTAATTATATTTTGTTTTATTTTAAATCAATATTTCAACTACTGCTCATAGTCATTCTCAAGTTACTAGTGAGAAACAAAATTTATTAAAAGTTAATATCAATAGGCAATAAAAATATTCAAATAATAAAAGTTTTTATTATTGAAAATTTCTTCACATGAATGTCTTTATATTAAAGTTTATAGAATATTATAAACTTTGTTAAGAATCTGTAATATTATCTGGTCACCTTAAATTACAAATTAGACTTAAATTATTAATGAAAGAAAACGAGTTAGAATTTATATTTATACTTAGGTATATAAATTAACTAATGTAATTTATTCAAAATAAAATAAAAAATTATTTAAAGTAAAAATTTTTTACTTTAGTTTACTTACTAATAATTATATTTCTATATTATTGACAAATGAAAAAAGTTTGTACTTATAAAAGCTTCATTCACCAATGCAAAAGCAAAGTTCACCATGGTGAAAATGGTGAACATATTAAGCTGCCATTGGTTATTAATCATTATTTACCACACATGAAAGTTCAAACGAGAGCAACCAACAACAAATTTTATGATTTGCTATGGTTCAAGTTTATATTAAACAAATTCAACAGATTCGCTAAATTAAATTCATTGATTTAAAGAAATTGAAAATTTAAAAAATAAAAAAAATATTTTTTTTATTTTACTGATTTTATTGCAAAGAATAACCAAAACGTCAAAAAAAGCGCAATTTTTATTATATCTACTGCTTAGCGGTTAAGAAATTTAATTGACTTTATTTAAAATTTTAGACATCTATAGAATAAATTTATTAATTTAATTGTTTTAAGAAAACAATATTGATAAATTAAAATATACACAATATTTATAAAAATTTATTATAATAAAAATATATAAGCACAATGAAATATATATTAATTTTTTACTTAAACTAAGTAAATTCTTAATTTATTTAAATTTTAGAAGCAAATGTTCTATATATATGACGACTGATATATATACCATATAAATAATACAATGGAAAATAAAATTTATTAAATTTTCACCACACCCTTAATAGTGCTTTCATTCCTCTACTATTAGAAATTAATTTCAAATTTGTTTCAGTAAAACAATAAAAATTTAAAACGTTTTATCTCGTCTCGCCAATCAAAATTTGAGTGCGAGGCATCAAAGTATAGAGAAACCAAAATTGCCCGGGGCCATTATGAAATTGCAAAATAAAAAGTGAGTATGACATTTCGCCAACTCGAAAACTGCATCCGCAAACGACGCGTAGGTTTCGTAGTGAAAGGAAAAAGGTATTTCAAAGAAACAAATCAAGTAAAATAAATTTGACAAAATTTTTCAAAATGTGAAACCATCATGAAAAGCCAACAGAACAACAGAAACACATAAAAGGAACGCATTTCAACGCAATTTATTTGATTAAAATCAAAAGAAAAACTTAAACGAAATACATAGATTATGTCGGTATTAGTGAAATTGTGAATACTCTACAAACAATACAATATGAATATTTTAGAGAGAAGAATAATCAAATACATATTCAAATGAATCCAAAGGTTCAGTAATAGTGTTTCGAGGGGCTCGAGCATTACTGTAACTGATCTACTTGAATATAAGTGAAGTGACCGATTTGTTTGAGCTAGTCAAACAACTGATTTGTCATATGACGTCATAAAACATTAGTATATTTTGAAATGAATATACTTAAACATCGGTATTCTTGCAGCTTTATAATTACAAATTTCTTTGAACTTAATTATCAGAAAAATATCTGCTCTCAAGTAAGAGACGATTCACAATTAGAAAAAGAAGATTAGAAAAGAGGGTCAATCTAAGTAACCTGTGAGAGCTGATATCCTTTCAAATTAAAGAGATAACCAAAGTTGATAAACTTGTCAGTTTAGTTTCCTCCTACTTCAATGGGTAAGTCTCGCATTGTCAAATGGACTTCAGACTTCTGTTTTTATGTGATTCTTAACGGATAAGTATATGTGATTAAGTAAGCTTTGATGCACAATGATATCACTTCGTGACCTAACAAATTCTTCTGGAAAAAGAAAGTGTGGGTGTACCACTTGCTTCTTGTCGGCATCGAATGAAATTATGCACACACCAAATGTTTAAAAGAAGATGGTCAACAGTGACCAACTGCATAAAAACCAAAAAATTTTGGTCAGAAATTAGTAAGAAAAGATCGGAGAAATTAATCAACCTATCCCGAGCAAATTTATCCAAGATAGTGGGAATTATTACGGGACACTGCCCGTTGGGAGGACATGCCGTGGGGCTCAATATCAATATTAGCTCAATATTACATTGTAGACATTGCATGGAGGATGATGAAGAGGAATCACCAATACACCTTCTGCTACAGTGTTCTACTTTCGCAAGACATAGACATAGACCCTAAGTAGGGTCACACTTTTTCAATTTACTAAGAGAGCTAGATTCTACTTCCATAGCTCGTATCAATGGTTTTACGGGCAGTACCAAATGGTTATAGGGACAGATGTCAAATTCTTTAGAGTATCACAATGGACCTCATGGTCTAAGTGAGTCTTCAGACGGCACCAGTAACCTTATTCTATTTCAGAAGCAACAAAATATAAATGGATACTTCCATAAGGTGCGAAAACTTCAAGCCACAATATATCGAAAACGAAAATTCTACTGAGCAAAGCCAAGATCGAAATAATGAAACTTGTAATGATGCTGTTAGACCATTGGCGAATGGGAGCTTGAACCATTCAACCATATATGATTGAGCTGCTAAAACGAAAATTATGAAAAACTAACTAAACAGGTCTGCACGTGGGCATTATCATAGCAAATGCAGCAGATATGGAGAAGCTGCAGAAAAGGAAATAAAAAAGACTGGACCAACTGAACAGCAGACCTGGGCATTATCTTAGTTAATGCTCAGTTCTACTGCTTAGTTGATTAATTAGCTAATATCCAGGTCTGTCAAAATGACAACATTTCATTATTAAAGTTCATGATCCAAGATACCTGGCGGACATTCTAAGCATAGGTCACCTCCCTTAATCAAGTAAATTTAAATTTTTATAATCATGTTTTTTAACAAAATGCCGTCTCTACGCTACTTAGACACAATGGGAAGCTTTAAATATATATATATATATATATATATATATAGCTTACATTTAATTTGAATTAAGTTAAAAGATATAGTAACAAAAATCAAAGAACTAGTTCTTCATATAAACTCTTTCATGTTGTAATAACTCCTCACAATTTCTTATTCGCTAAAGCAAAAAATGTAATGCTATATCCATATTCAATTATTTCATTTAAAAATATATCCCCTCTAATCATTCCTCTTCTTATGTAGAAAAATAACTAAATAAATAAATTCATTTAAGGCCAAACTACAAGCGATCAAGATAAACACAACTTCCTTCGTCCTGGCAATTAACCGCCTGTGTTATGTTGCTTTTACATTAATTTGCTTTTAGCCTTTTTAAATGTTTCCCAAGTTAATCAAAAAATTCCACACGTAAAATATTTTCCTACAACAAAATCAACTTAAACAGAAATTAGTTATATTATTAAACAATAGTTTTTTATTTATTATTCAAAGGCAATTAAATTCGATTTCTGATTTTGTTACCGAAATTTAGTTGCGTTTTGCATACGGAGAACAGCTGACATATTTCGGAGGTGTACGTGAACAATTCGACTTTCGAAAAAAATATTTATTGGAATAATTTTTTATCAATAAAATAATGCAAAGAATTAAATTTCTGAAGAGAAAATGTCGAAAAAGAATATAAAATTTGAGGAGTTCATCGAAACCCTAACGATTTTCCGACGTAGCCTGATATTTCAAACAAAGGAGTTCTTTCAAAATTCTACCTTGCATGGTGTGCGGTATATTGCGGAAACGGGGCGACCAATTGGAGAGAAGTGAGTCATGCATTATTTATTAAGATTTGTTTCCCCTAATACACAAATTTTATATACTAGCTATAGTATATAGTAATCCGTTTTATACAAGTAATAAATAAAGAAATTGGAATATTATTTCAATTGAGTATCAGATCAAAATTATTCCTCTTAAATAATCCTCAATAAAAACTGTTTACAGAGTACTATATCATGAGTCTATAAGCTCATTTTATTCCAGTATCATTATTGGATTAGTTATATATTATTTTCCATATGCGGTAAACATTCGATTGATGTCTTTTGATTAGCTCTTTAATATGGCAACTTAACTGTTAGGCTAATTAAGCAAATCTTCGAAGTCTTACTAAAGCGCTGGGAGTCCAGAATTTTTTTTATTTTTAAATTCATTATATTCTATATACACAAACAATATGTCCATTTAAATGACTTACATGAAATATATAATAAATATTTCTATCATTCTAGGTTTATGTGGTTTTGTTTTACATCGATCGGCACGATTACTGCCTTAGTTATCATCATGAGTCTATGGGAAAAGTTTCAAACTAATCCAACAATAACAGGTAATGAAACATATTTTAACACAAAAATTTAACCCAAATTAATTAACACAAAACTTTAACACAAATTATACACTCAGAGTTTTGGGCACGTTGATCCATTTTAACGGAACAGTTCTTAATAATAATTAATTAATCTATCAATATTTATATAATTTTTAAATTGATTTTCTAATCAGGTTAGGTTAGGTTAGGTTATACCGGCGATCCCTACTGGATCCACTTAGGCCTATTGACCCATTGTGATACCGTACATATAGGAAAAACTCGTGGTTTAAAACCACCTAGAACCTTTGGCGAAGCATAATATGCTATTTAGTGTCAGGTCCTGTAATTGGTCAAGGTCATCAAGAAACGGGACTCCTAGAGTATAAAGTCGCCGCCGTGTATGGGCTGGGCAAAGACATAGTAGATGAGAGGCACTCTCATCGTCTTCCCCGCAGCTGCAACAGATTTGATTAAAAGGGAGACCAAATCTTCTAGCATGGTTCCCTAGTTTACAGTGACCTGTAAATAAACCTACCAAAAGACCGATATCTCTACAGGGTATCTCAATGAGAATTTTGGGTTTCCTTTTATCTGAACGTGACCAAATCATCTATGATAATATCATAGATAAAAAGTAATAAAAAGTAATTACTTTCATAGAAAAATTAATTTAAGAGAAAATATATTATCCAAAAATTAATTATAGATTAAATTTATTTTTTTTTAAACAAAGCATGCATATTTAAATTAATATTATAATACATTAAAATCAAATTTTTTTAGTGTTATTTTTTTTTTTTGGTTCAAAATGTTTTGATATAGTCTCCGTTAAAAAAAAACTAAAATTTTAATTCTCTAAACAGTAAATATTTTATCAAATTATTATGAACATCCTGTAGCAATACTCACCATCCATTTTTATAACTACACCTGTATTTCCAACTCAACACAGAACAAAAAATGGATTCAAACAATTCGGAGAAGAAGAATGAATTAATATCTAAGATCGTAGTAGCAAATCTTATAAAAAACTACGAAGAGATGGCGAAAGCAGTTCATGATTTGATCCAGTCCTACCCGCAACTTAACGAAGAAGAATTAAACTGGTTGTCCGTTGCATACAAGCATTGTGTCCATTCACGGATTAGTTCCTGGCATGTTGTCAAAAGTGCCTTGGACAAAGAAAAGGCCGTTAATAACATTCTAAATGTTTACAAAGCAGAGAATTTGCTTAAAGATATTGAAACAGAGATACGCACATATTGCACCGATATTCTAGATATGTTAGAAGATAAGATAATGATGGCTGTCACAGATGATAGCATAATGGTTTCGTGTTGGAAACTAAAGGGCGATCATAGACGCTTTCAATCAGAAATAGAAACTGGTGAGAGAAAAAGTAACATGATTATGCAAAGTGAAAACGCTTATGAAGAAGGCTATAGATTAGCAACCAGCAAGTTAGAAGTTAATAGTCCAGTATTTTTAGCTTTGGTCCTCAACTATTCACTTTTCTTACACGAGACGGTGAAAAACAAAAAAAAGGCTATGCAAATAGCTATGACGGCTCGTGAGTCTATTGACCTTGTGAAGAACACCCAGCCTAACATTGAATCGGCTTACATACTTGAACGACTCAATGACAATATGAGACAATGGGATCAAAACTATTTAACTAACAGACCAAGTTATATAAATCCTTTTCACGGACTTTTTTGAGTACTAAGCGCTACTAAATAATAATTTGATAAAGTATTTACGAAATAGAGATAAACAAAAAAAAAATAAAAATAATTTTATAAAAAAAAATAAATAAGCTTTTAATTTTTAGAGAACAAGAAGTACTATTTATTGATAAAGCATTAAGGAAATATCATAATTATAGATTATATTCAATAACTTTGCCTCGCATTCTTGATATCTAAAATAAAATACTTGATCGCTCTAAACTTTTCGAACCATAGATTCCTATTCGTTTTTATATAAATTATAAAGCTCAAAGATTTTTACAAAAATCGGCAATATGTTTTACAGGTTTAGATACTGATTTTCATAATCAGAATGTTGTGTTCCCCACAACAGTGATCTGTCCAGAAATAATGTTCAGTCAAGAACAATCGTATGATGTAGCTTACAAAGAGTTAAGGCAAGCATATATTCAAACTAAATTTTCTTATAATTATTAACATAGATTTATTTATAGTAACAATGATGAGAACACAGCTTTGCTTATACAACCTTTTCTCGAAAAACTACCGTCTTTATCATTCAAAAATCTTAAGGAAGGGATTGAGTTAGTGAAAGATATACCATTGGAACGTTTAAATACACAGTCGTTGCGCCACTGGGCTTTTAAGGTACAAGTATAAAATCTTTCATTATATCCAAAAACTCACTAAAATATTTATTAAGTTTTTTTTATAATTCTTACCAAAAACACAACAACAAAAATATTATCTATATAACATTCTACTTAACAGGTTAACGTTAGCTGCGAAGATGTTATTTCATTCTGTAAATACCGCGATGAAGTTATCAACTGTTGCGCTTACTTTGATCCAATCTATACGGAACATGGATTTTGTTTTGCTTTTAACAGTCGTTTCAAATCTTTACCGAATGATGAGTATGAAAAAAAAACTAATACTACATTGAAATATTTATTAATACACAATACGATTTCTACGTAACATAGTAGACTTTCAAAGTAGACTTTCAGTATTAACCGATTGTACAAGGTGTGAAAGATAATTATTTCCAAAAGAAAATCCGAATTCAAAAACCCAATCCAAACTTCAGTCTTGAAAATGGTTCATTCAAAAACCTAAATCCAATACCAATTTCCACAAATAACATCAAGTTTGGTTCGATATATGCTTAAATGGGTATGGAACTTACGATGGTTCAAAAATAATGTTTGTTAAAAAGTTTTCGATCATTTTTTCAGAAAACCTCTTAAAGCAATAATTTTTAAAAAAATTTTATCTTTTTGATTATTAAAGTAAGAGTCAATATATTGTCTCGATAATAGAAAACTTTATTTTTCTACCAAATAATATATCTTTCGGTAATAGGGACGTTCAATTTATCAAGTAATGTGATCGGCCTCACATTAAATTAAAATTTAGGATATTAATTCGTTTTCAGAATTCAGCTCTGGACTCAATTTTTGAATCTTCTTCAATCCTTTAACATAAGCGGAAGGTTAACAAATGCTGCATCTATTGCTTATAGAACTTCAAGCACTATGATCTGATGTATTCAATACTATTATTTATATCTTTCCGATGTTTACGTCAGTAGCAAAATTTTTTAGCTAACCAACTAAGCTTATACGACTACATTTAAAATCGATCATCTAATTACTTTTTCTCTTATTATCAAATAACAGTCAAAAATCTGGTCCGGCTCATGATCTTTATGAAACAGATAAGAAGTGGGCTTTGTTTTTTGTACCCAATGGAACAGCAGAGGTTATGACTTCTTTAATAACAAAACTTAAATAAAATATTTATATATACTCTTTATTGTCCATAGATTTTTATATTTTCTAATCAGGAATATTTCGGTAAGGACTACAATGCACAAATCGAATGGAGCGATGGTGAAACTGCCGAGGTGCGAATATCGAAAAAAAATACATACACCACAGATGATGCCAGACAGTTAACAATTGGGTACCCACATTATATACATAAGAAACTCAAAAATTATTTATTGTTCTCTTTTATCACTACCTCTCTCTCTTACTCTTTATATCTCTGAATTAAAACATATTTTTATATCATCTGCTTTGTATATATGTATGTTACTATAACCATCAAGCCATACCCATATCTATCTATATTTTTATTAATGTCACTCCTTTACTCTCTTAACTCTGTTTGTTATCTTGATTTAGTCAAAGAAAATGCATTTTTTTCGATGAAGTAAAACTACAATATTTTCCGGATGAATATACTTTTTCGTCTTGCATGAAAGAATGCCGCATTAAGAAAGCTCTGAAGTTATGCAAATGTAATCCACATTTCTATAAACCTCTACGTAAGATATTTATTACTAATAATTTAATATTAAATCAAAACTAAATGTTTAAAATAGCCTTTCCATAAATAATTTTAACCTTTCACTCTCTTAAATTTATAGCAAATGTGCCCATGTGCACCATAGCTGACTTTGAATGCCTAGACAAGTTCAAAAACAATATAACAACCATTAAGGATTGCGTACAATGTGAGCTGAGCTGTTCGAAAACAGTTTTTAATATCGAAAAATTAAGTAAAACGTAAGTAGTTTATAAAACAACAGAAAACATTAATTTTTGGAAAGAATAATAACCACACCACAGCTTTAAGATTCTTACCATTTGAAAAACTAAAATAAAAATTTTGTGGTGAGAAAAAAAGTGAACATTGAAGATATTAACCACACAAAGCAATACAGCCTTAATTCCACCACTTGAAATAATTCAAAACACCCATATGTAAACGGAAGCTTGTTTAAATTTTCTATTACAGACGTGAAGAAACAAAACAACATGGGGTTCTAGTTGAATTTTTGACCTGGCCTATTATACGTTATAAGCGTGAAGTACTATTTGGTTGGGTAGATTTATTAGTATCATTTGGTGGTATTGCAAGCTTATTTCTCGGTTTCTCTCTACTATCCGGTGTGGAAATTATATACTATTTCACTTTACGTGCTTGCTGTATGGTGTATAAAAATAGAGTAAGTTTATCTATATATATAAAATAAAATCACTTTAACAATGTATATATATATTTACATATATAATAGGAAGAACTTGAAGAAATTGAAGAAAAAATAAAGCTACAACCACCACCTCCAATAGATCTTACCTTTAAAATACGACGTCGCAGCAACATGCGTGTGCAGTTGAATGATATTAAATCTGATGATGACAGCATCATGCGAAATAATCTAAATAATACAAATAAATCAAATGATAAAGCAATACATTTAGATAAACATAATAAATTAAAATTAAATGTATCATCACAAAGAGAGCATAAGAAAAAGGAAAAGGTAAATTAATACTTTAAAATGTTAGAGAATTATAATGGTAAGCAGTATAGATTATTTGAATTCAAATAAGAACAATATGATCAGCTGCTTAAAGATGTTCTAGCATCTTTAATCAGCTGATCTGCTGTTTAATTTTAACTTAATTTTTTCTATACTAATATCTCAAATGACAATACTTGCACATCATATGATATACAAACATCGTTAACCAAGCGCGGTCCAGACTATAATTTTTGAATATCATTCAAGTTGCAACCGAACTTGAACATGCTCACATTCAAGAGTTGTCATTCAAGGGAAATTTTTGAAGAATAAAGGTGTTTGCGCACGCTGTAAGTGGGTTAGTAAGTGTAAGTGTTCTTGTAAGTGCTCTTGAATGACGAATGCAAGTTTATGGGTGTCAGATTATCATTTACAACATGTTGGCGGGAAGATGAATTATGTGCTTACCACATACCAACATGTTGGTTGCGAGTCATTCAAAAGTAAAGACAATCATATAGTCTGCACTGCGCTTAAGACTAGATTCACACGAAAGTTTAGTTTGGAATTTAAAATATTAATTCTGCATAGAAAACAACAACAACAACTAGAAACAAAACCGTCGTTTGAATCCAGTACAAAGCTATAGTTTAAATCCCAATCATTGTCATTGGCGGTATCTAGAACATTTTATAACTTATTTTAATTAGAAACTTGATTTTCTGGTTACGAGAAGTTTAATAAACTATAACGTATTCTATTTTATTTAAATATTGATTTTAAATATATTTTTGTTTAGCTTTCAATAAAAAAAAAACTAATAAAAGAAAAATAAAACCTGACGATATTTACAAAATATTTTTTATGTATAATTTTATAATTATATATTTTTTATTTTCATTTAAAGGGTTACATTAGCTATGCTAAATCCTTATTTAAAGCTCCAAAAATCATTCCTCAGTATGCAGACGAAAAATCTTGGCAATACGGACAATATTTACCATAAACAATAATACAATTTATTTTGCAAATTTTAAAACTTTTTATAATTAAATTTAATATTTTGTTACAATAACATGCAATAGATATAAAAAATATCCTAAAATCTTACAAAAAAAAAACATACATAAAATGTTTACTTAAAATAAAATGTTATAAATACGATAAATTAAATAATTGACGACATACCTGTACCCGCTAATGTAATGAACCTTAAATATTGTATTACGCACATAATTTAATTTTTTTTAAATATATCAATATTAATAAAAAATTAGAATTGAGTTTTAATATTAAATAGTTATTATAGAAATGTGTTAGGTATTGAAAAATTTTTTTTTAATAAATAAAATCAAATAAATAAAATCACTTGAGAACTCGTTATATTTATTGTTAAAATCAGATGATATAGTATAGATCATGATATATATAGATAAAAAGTCATTTACTAGTTTATACCGAGATAATACAATTTTGAACTATTAAAATATTTATTTATTGTTGAATTATAGAAGGTTTCTCTTAATACTGTTGCATGATTTGTTGTCGCCAAAATGTTTTGAACTTAAATTTCTCCTACAGAACACAATTGTTGCTCACATTAAATTCAAATAAATTTAAATAAATTCTTGCAACCAAATTAACTATTGAAGAGTAATTATATTAAGTAAATCTTTAAACAAACAGATCAAATATTAAAATCTGCAAGAATTCTTCAAGAGCTCAAACCACGAATTGAATTTGTGAGCAGGGCCGTTATACAGTAAATTTTCAATAATTATTAATTAATAATTTTTAATTCAATTATTTCACACCTAAATACTACACATAAATTGTCATTTTTTTTTTATTCTACAAATCTTTTTTTTTCTTTAAGTTTATATATGAGTTTAAATGTGAACCTCAAAATTTTAATGAGTTCTTCATAAGTTTTATTAAATAGCAACCCTGGCAACCCTTAAGTGATATGTCAAATTTAAATATAACATCTGTTGAGAAAACCTACAAGCGAAGTTCTGTGATTTTGTTTACTTTTGTTTGAAGTTAATATTATCTAAAATTAATTAGAAGTAATGGCGAAAAGAGCCTCAAATTCTAGAGGTTCGAAACGTGCAATTAAACTTGAAAGAGAAACATTAATAAATAAAATGAAAGTGCATTAGACACATTTGAAGAAAGTAATGGGAGTGATTTCGTGGGAACTGTGTTTAATAGTATGGATCAGAACGACCCATTAGGCAATAACACAGTTGGAAACATCACCTCACCACCAACATGTTGCTGCAAAGAATTAATAGCTGCACAGGACACAAAACTAAAAGCACTGTCGGGTGAGTTGTAGTTGTCATACGTAAATTTCTAAAGAGATTTGTATTAAAATTTTATTTCATATAAATTTTGTTAATATATTTTTTTAAATATTCAATTTATTACAGATAAAATGGAAACAATGTTACGAATGATGACCGTACAAACAGCTTTGATAAATGTGCTAGTCTCCGGTGAGAAAAGTCCTATCAGATTGGCTATAAAATTTCCATTAAAAACCGAAGCCGATCTTTTAGAAGTAGAGCAAATGATCGGTATTGAAAAAGACTTCTATGTAAGATTAATTTCATGTATTTATTTAAAACTGTGTAAATAAATATATATTTATATGTTTCAACAAGGTTGAAGCTATTAAATTAAAACTGGATGGAAATATCTTAAAGAACATGGAAGAACTGATCCACCGAAACATTGCTCTTATGTACAACATAGACGGTACACATGGCAAAAAAAGATTTAAAGATTTTGTAAACTTATATAGTGCAATAAAAGGTGGTTAAATATCTTTAATATATTATGTTAATATCTTAATTTAATTTTAAATATTTCAAGCATCTATACCAAATGGTGACAAGGACGAAACTATACGCAAAGCTTTCCAAGTTGTAAAAAAGCGTCATTATCGATATATATCTGAAAGCAAAACAAAACAACACACTTAAATTGTCACAAAAACCAATATTTTTTTGGGTTGTTATATTAATTTATTTAAAATTTAGCTTATAATTTAATATAAAGCATTTTTTTTCAATGCGTTTAATTATTTATTATTTGAAGCTTTAATCTCAATTAGACTTTTAGATATAAGTTATAATCAGTTTTAATATAAATTTGTATACACAATTTTTAATAATTTAAATAAAATTATTTTTTTCATTTTATATATATTTTTATTTAAATATTTTTTTCTCTGTATTTCATTTAAATAAAATAAAAATTGTTTTTAAATATAAAAAATTATAGTTTTTATATTTATTTTTAATAAATAATAAATTATTATTTTTATTTAATAATTTGCTTAACAAAAAATGAGTGTCATTAACTAATACAACCAAAACAGTTTATGATTGATGTGAACAAATGCAAAACAATACAATTTAACTAATCCAACCACTACTATAAACCAGTCAAATCGAATATATAACAAGAATTTCGTCCCGTAACGTCCTTCTATTAAAAAATACGTTTTTTTTCTAAATAATTTGATTCTTTAGAGAGATGTAAATATAGGATGTAGATTGAAACCCACAGATAGCTCTTCAGCCCTAAGGTTCTTCGGCTTTATACGGTACATACAAGATGAATACAGCAACCTTTCTTAAAACTAATTTCTCACATTTAGCTCATCGTGGCACACCTTGAAGGGTGTGGAAAGTCACACTTCGAATTTTTGGGCTATGCATTGTATCTGTGCGGCCATTTTTGGATGATAGAATAGGTACGGAAGCGGAAGAATCAGTTTTTAATGATAAATGTTGGTGACTTTTGAATTAAACGAGGTTTATCAATAAGGAATTAAAAAATAAAACTGCATGCTAACCAGTTTGATACATGAGACCATATTGTTTTTTACGTACGCCTATGTATATCATCCCATATTAATAGTTTATACATTTATATAAATACGTTTTGAATTGCTTTTTTTATGTTATAAATAATAGTATTTTTCTATAAAGAACCGTATATATCATTCCATATATTATCATATACAAATATATAGACGTTTTGAACTGTATTTTTATGTGAAATATATTCCTGATACATTGCTTCAAAGAAACGTTGCAACGTCGTATTTAAACAGATGTTGACACTTCAAAAGTTGTCAAAATTATTTAGCGATATATGCTAGTTTGTATGGATGTAAACAAACACATAAACATATTTTACATGAATAACTGTAGAACAACAGCGAACACGCAAAACAAATGCAATAGAATCGGCGAAGAGTAAGAACGCAGAAAGTACAAAAAGTGAGGATTTTAACAAATTATTGAAAAAGAAAAAACGGCGCAAAGTAATATAATCATTAAATACTAAATAAATATAATTATTTTAATAATACAATAACCTGTTTGAAAGTGAAGTATTTAATTCACATTGAACTTTCGAACGCGTGTAAAATGAAGTGGAATTGAAAGAATTGTGAAATTATTGCCTCATCTAGAATTTACGTTTTTCTTTTTTATTTTAAAATTAAAAATTTTTGTTTGGTGATTATTATTTAAAGGAATTGAATTGAAGTTTGAAACAGCGCGTATGGAAAATGCCTTATTATGGTATTTATATTCCTTCGAAGGGTGGCGCTGCCACGGCGGGCAGTGGTGCGTCGACCTCAACAAATTTGAATAGCAATGGAGGAGGAGGCGTAAATAATAATTCCAATGAAAAAAATGCAGGTAATGTTAATAATGATAAACATTTGACATGTGTTGAAATATTAAAAATATAAATTGAAGTAAAATACCATTTTATTGAAGAAATTAGCTGACATAAATGCAGCGACAAAAAAATGCTAATCGAACTGTGTGTCATGTACGTTGTTGGTGGGAAGTATCTATATAGGTTGACACATACAGATGATTAGTTTCTGTCAATATATTTGCAAAATATAAAAAATGGTGTTGTGGCTTTTTATATATATAAAGAAAAATGTATTTTGAATAATTTATATGCTTAATACTAGTATATTTCAATCTTCTAAATGCATTCCGGTCAAGTCGGGGTTCAGTATATTTCATACGTGCAGGTTTCCAATTGCATGAGTATGGTTTATATATTAAGGACCAATTGAAAAATCATTGACTGTCTCAATACTGAATTGAGTCATGCTTAAGTTATTGTTAGGACTCGCGGAGTTCTTTAGAGCAATTAACATGAAAGGAACTACAAATAGATATACATGGGTTAGGACGTGAATAGGTAAGGATTAGGTTTGGGCGAAGATTGTTTTACAACAGGAATAGCTTGTGAATAGGCGGGATTTTTATTAAAGTCAATCTGAAGCAAGGCGGTGGAAGCTAACCACTTCGACATGCTTAAGTTATTGTTGTCGTAGTCCGTGGGGATCTGTAAAGAAGATTATTATTATTCTTAGGGGATTGTTCCCTTCTTCTATTGTGTTCCCTCCGGGGTTTAGAGTAGATCTCTAAGCTCAGTTGCGTCAAAAAAAATTAGTATAGAACCTACTTTACAGAATTTTATTGCCTCTTCCGTAAGAATATACATTCCCAGGAATAAAGTAGATAGTATGAGAGGAATATATAGGTTGAGCTGTAGGTGAGTTATGGTTGTGTAAATACACAGAATACGGTCTTAAATATAGGAGAAGTTTAGTTTAGTAATTTTCATAAAAGGAGAAAAATAGTTTTATGGAAATCAACTTAATTCACAGTTTTGTAACTTACTTTTATAGGTGTGGGAGATCTGTTCAGTTCCCTGATTTGTAAAGACACTGAACAGATGTCACAATTTTTACTTTAATATTTCAATATTGTATTATTATTTCTTATTGACATAATAAATATTAAATCTAAAGTTGCGTTGAACAATTACAAAAATGTGAACAATATTGAAGTGTCATAAGTCCTCAGAAAAGGAAAGAATAACTTCAAAAAATCTGTTTGTTAGATGTAAGTTATTTCAGTGAGCTTACTCTTGGAAGTGTGGTATGAACCATTCTTGGTCATCAGAATCAACGAATAACTTTAAAGAAACCCGGTTGTTAGATGTAAGTTATCCTAGTGAGATTACTGTTGGAAGTATGGTGTGAACCATTTTTGGTTAATCAGAATCAACGAATAACGGTTTGATGTTGTTGTTGAAAGGTGTGTGGTTGATCATCGGAAATAATGAATAACTTTAGAACACCTTAGAAAACCCAATTAATAGATGTTGTTGTTGTAATCTACACCGGTGAGACTGTTGTTTGAATTACTATTGAAAGGTCTTAACAATTCTTGGTCATCCTAGTTCAGTTTGCTTAGCTTGCCTTCATGGTGAGCGATAATAGTTCAATGAGTGATGACTAGTACTAAACAACCTGGTTTACATCCTAAAAGCATTTGATTACAACGATTAAGTGCTATTAATTACTTTATTTCGAGTTTTACTGTTGTCAAGGAAAATGGAGGAGACAGACTACAACAACAACAGTCTGAACTCTGGGATCTGAGATCGCTCTTAAAACTTTTGTTATCAATAAACCGATATTTTTCGATGAGTTAAGCTCGGTATAAAGATATTGTGAGAAATAAATTATAAAGATTCCATTCTACTGGCGACACTGTAATTATCTTCTAATTAAATACTAAATATTATACTTCCCAACCTTATAATTAAATTTACATTTTAACTAAAAGCTTACAAAGCTGTATACAAAGGGTACACTAAAGATATCAGCGCAGCCTCCTACCTATCACCCTCTTTCACAAAGTGTAAAAAATATTTATTTTTGCATTAATTTCTGTTATTTTTTTAAAAAAGTTTATTGCTCTTTTTTTACAGAACAATTAATGATATGTAAATTGTAAAAGAATACGTTTATAAAAACATTAATGTTTGCATATTCATATTTCCGGGGATCATATTTTGTGGCAACTGCCGAAATCATTTAAAAAGCAACTAAATGACGTATAAATGACGTTCATAACAGGCAACAAAACAGACGCCCACACAAGCTTCGAACAGTTTATCAAAGTCGTCCAAAATTAAATAAAAAAAAATATATATTAAAAAGTTATTATCAATTAGATGTCGAACGAAAAGAATGTTTTTTTCTCTGAATTTTATAAAAAAAAAGTGAAACATTTGTTAAATAACGTCATTTTTTATTTGCCAAAATGGCAAGATATTTCGCAAAAAATCTTGTATCTATAAAATATTAGAAGCAAGTGCAAAGCAAACTCCAATTTTTTAAAAAATTATTACAAAAAAAAATTTTAAAAGAGGTTTTTTCGAATAGTAGTGAACTACAACAACAAAAATTCATTTTTATATTATTTTAATTAATTGAATTTTTGGCTGACCATACAGCTGTTTCGAGTATTGCCAAATACCAATCGTCAGTGGTCTTGGAAATAATTCTTGTAAATAATTATTTTTGAGACTGTAAGTACCAAGAATCGAACTCGGGTCCTGCTAAATGTGAAGCTCAGAATTTTTTTTATACATTAATTAACAAATTTATGCACTTTCGCGGTACCTACCAGTTTATTAGACATCTGCTAATTGTGCCACATAAACACAATATTCTTTATTTATAAATATTTATATACACACCATCATATATACACTTATATATTTAAAAGTGTATATTTTATAAAAGTCGATTCATATTGCATTATTGGAAGTAATTTATTACTTGAGTACCAGGTATCTTAATATGTAAATAGATATTTTTTAATACTAAGTATTGCTTCAGTAAGAATTTTTTTATTCTCACATTTGCTTAGCTGTGTGTTTTTGTCACAGTTAAACTAATGAAATAATTTATTTAATTATGATTATTTATCCAATAAGTCTTAAGTCAATATTTACGCTTCTTAGCGTAGCGTAAGTTCTGTTGAAATTTCTTCAAATTGTAAGTAAAATTACTCTTTGTGTTATAAATTCTATAAAAGATAACAATAAGGCGTTGTGTTTCATCAAGATTCCTCTAAAAAAGATGATAATAAGTAGAACTAGTTAAACTAGTCGGAGGTTTTCGCATTTAACTACTCGAAATAAATATAAAAACAAAATATTTATAGATTGTAAGTTTGTATCTCTTGCATATTTTGATGCTTTTAAAGTCACGAATTATATATCCGTAGCTTTTATTATAACATAGAGTTAAGAAATTCACTTCCTGCATAGAAACTAAGCAGTAGAGCCGATAAATCTACCTTTGTTCCAACAGATCAAAAGAGAGCCACTTGTTATCTACGACCAGGTGCCATTCACTAACCTCTGAAGTGATTTTACAAGCAGATTCCCGCGGGCTACCACAACAACATCTAATCTAACTTCGTTATCTCTGTTAGTGTACTGAAAAAATGGTTTCCTGAACATAGAAAATCTTGAGACTTAACATATCTAAGATTGGGGTTTTTGTTAACAATATAATAGTGGTTCAAAGTGTTACAGCATTCAACTATTCGAGACGTTTGATTGAATATACTCTATTGCATTTTCTGTATTCTGAAGACTACTAAATATTTTCAAAACTGTTGGCAGAGTTATAAGAAGAATACATTATTCCTTAACTATACTACAGCTCAGTACTCACCGGAAGATAATAATCCTAGTCGCCTAAAATTAAAACAGGTCAACACAACTTCGCTATACAACCGTTCTATTCACTGTCTTATAACAAGATCTGCTGAGTGGATAGAACCCTTTGTCATTGTCATATTATAGCTCAGCACGCACTAGAAGATGATAATCCTTTGAAACACCCTAAAACACAACTTTGCAATAAAACCGTTGTATTCACTTTCTTATTAAAAGATATGCTAAGTGGATAGAGTTCTTTGTTATTAACTATATCACAGCTCAATACTCACTAGAAAATGATAATGCTTTAGTGCCGTCTAAAATTACCACAAATCAATACAACTTCGATATACAACCGTGGTATTTATTGTCTTATTTCAAAATATACTGAATGGACTTCCTGTTAGTGGCTATTGTTGCAGTTATGGGTCAGAGCAAGAAGAAGTACGCACAATGAATGTATTATATCCACAGCCCAGTACATGCAAAAATGTTAAAAATGCGTTTTGGCCGCTTAAAATCAGAATAGAACAATCCAAGTGATGTGTACAGAATACCTTAAACTGCCGAATGAAGGCCCGACTGCTGCTGGAATCGCCTTATATTGCTCAATATAAGTGTTTGTTTTATTCACAACGGACTACCTTATTGGAAAAACATTTCGACTGGATAATAGCCACTATCAATGACAATTGTTATAACTGTTGATCACAAAAAGAAGAACACACTTTACTTTTATTCTATCACACTAGAATCAGAACTGAATAGCACAACTTTATATATACGAAATGCTTTCTCACTATTGTGTGTAAATGTTGTACTCACAACACACTGTTTTATTGACATAGATATCGACTGGATATAGATCCCTTTCAATGAATATTATTAATTTACAATATCATAGCCTAGAACTTGTCAGAGAGTTACGCACTGGGCTCTTTTGCGGTAGTTTGTTTCGACAATTATTTGTAATAATTTCTTCAACGTAAGCATTATTGGCATTATTCACTTTATCAAAACAACAATTAGTTATCTAGTAAAAAATTTTCGATAAGATGAAGAACAAATGTTCATTGAGATGATTGTATATGTAGAACATGTGTTTACGCGAAATAAACAAATATAATTATCATTATATTTCCAATGAAAATCTCAAAAGTTATGAGTAGCCTAAATATATTACTATATTATTAGCATTATTGTTAGCATATATATTAATATATTATATTATATATTAATTTTTCAATAATATATTATATGTATATATACATATAGCGCGACTATTTATCTAAAAGTATCTTTTTTATATTTTGAATTCAAAGCAACAGTATTTGTATCTTCACAGTTTTAACGAATATTTTTACACAAATATTTTTTTGTTTACCTTTTCAATTGCTTTTAAGCTGAAGTACGCATGTCAGCAAACTATATAGTGCTAACTACTATCCCCTGTCTCTAACACACGATGGATCCCCCAACCCATATATTGGAGAAACATATGTTTTCCACGATTTTTGTTTTGCTTTTCAGTTTCATTTCTGTTTACATTTTCAGAACTTGCGTATTTTGCCTCGAAAAGCTCCAATAGAAATGATTTATTTGTTTGAAATTCAAAAGTCAAAGTCGCCAGTTCTAAAAATATGAGCAACACTTGAACATTGAAAGCAATAACTTTTTTTTTGATTTTTTTAATATACCATATAATAAGCAAGCCGATATGAGCAGTTAGATATTTTAAAAATAAGCCGATGGAACCCTAGAATTCATTTTTTTTAATAGAAAAACATAATTTGCTCTAATTTCTCTGTCAAAGCCTCGCGGGATCTATGCTTTCACAATCAAAATAATGCGGAAAGTGTTACGTCTAGAGTTTAAAAATTTTTGTAATTTTGCCAAGAAAATTTTATATTCTTGACGTGAGGAATTAATATTAATTTGTATGTACACAGATTTGTTTATTTTGTAATCTTATTATCAAATGATAAATGACACAACGTTTTGGGAGACACATTATATGTATAATTATATTTTTGGTCAACCACCTTATAATATTCTGAAAATTTTTAAAATTAATTAATAAACGAAAAGTGTTGCGGTATTTAAAGTTGCTATGTAATGTAATATATACATTTATATATATATATATATATACACCGAACTTCTGACATGATCTTTGAAGAAAAGTCTATGTAAAAAACATCTAAACAATTCTAACATACATATAGGTTATACTGCACATAATCCAACATGATATATGGCTAGAAAATAAATACTTACACAACAATAAAAAAATAATTTATTAAAATAAAATAATAAAATAATAAAATTTGTAAAGATTTCTAAAAAAAACATAATTACAACAATTAATAGTTTAAATATAGTCATAAGCTCCAAACAATGATGAATCTGTTTCTAGCCACCAGTAGTGTTGGCTCTCGTCTCCTCCCCCTCCCTCTTTCTACACTGATTCTTATAATATAATTTTTTGCATCCAGTCATTGTATTTGCCATTTGACTACTTAGGGCAGCCATAACTATTCTGCTTCTATTTGGATTTTTTAATTCACCTTTCAAGTAGTACCTTATTCTGTATATTACAGATGATCTACTAAACTAACTGCTTGGCGCAGTTTTTTAACCGGTAAAACTATTTGTACAAAAACACCACGTTGTCACTACAATTCAGTGGTCAACAGAAGTTTTTTAACGTGACTTCCTTATAATGATTCGGATTATTTCTGATAACTCGACTACTCATGTAATTCTCGGTCTCATTTTGTGTTATTGTATTGCTTCTATTTTTTTGCTTGTTGAGTTTTTGAAGAAAAGGTGGAAACTCAATTCGAGTAACACCAATATAATATATGATAATTATGCTCGAAATATAATGTCGAATAAGTGGTTATTCCAGTAGCACGTGACCCATTCTATAGACACACTAAAATCTTCCACTTTAGCATCACGTACACAAAGATCAGGTGTGGGGCTCCAACGTACTTGCTCATACATCCAATCCAATGTCATATATTCAACATATAATCCATTCATATGCGTGCTACACAAATTTCTTCGTGTTACAACAACAATAATAATATAATTATATACTCTGACCATATTTATTCTACTTTAAAAAATAATTCTTTATATATATCTTATTCATGATTTTTAGCTGAATCTCCATATGTCTTCCATGCTAAAATCGAAGCACTAGAAATGCTTAAATTGTACAAAGATGGTCGTCTACGTGAATTTAACACCAGAGACGATGCTTACAAATATGTACAAACTGGTTGCGAAGTGGTGCAAACAAAATACTTTGATGTTAAAAGTAAGTAAACAATTCATTACGTGTATCTTAATTTAATTATTTTTTTTTTTAATTTTAGCTTCCACTGCCGCTGTGGAAAAAGCTGCTTTCCGCGGTCCAACAAAACATGAATTAATAGATTTCCGTAAAGCTATCGAATCGGGTAATTATGAAGGTGTTAAAACGATGATATGGGATAATCCACGTTATCTTGTGAGTTCCGGTGATACACCAACTACTCTTAAGGAGGGCACACGCTACAATGCTATGCATATCGTTGCCATATCCAAGAAACCACAAATAGGTGATCTTATACTGAAAACAGTGTCTGATCCAAAGTTTGTGGATCTGTTGACTGGCAAAAAGAATGATATTAAAATGTGTAAGGAGTTATGTGCAAACCTATTGGATTACTATTTAAATATGCCCGAGAAGGGACGTAGTGAAACCCCTTTGCATTTAGCAGCTAAAATAGGTTGCTTAGAAGTAATTGAAGTATTGATTTCATATCCTGCTTGTAAAATGACATTAAATAAGGATGGTCAACTACCAAGAGACGTAATTTAACAATAATGTACTATTGTATTTATAAATTTAATTAAATATTTTGTATATTTTAGATAATTTGTTCACGTGTTTCAAATTCGACCAGTGAACTTCACAAAAAAATTGAATGTTTGTTGGAGGAACGGTTTTATGTCCCTGTATTAAGGTCAACAGATAATGTTGTGCCACCACAAATTGGCGAACCGTTTTCAGCTAATAATCCACCAGTAAGTTATTTTTTTAAATATTTAATATATAAACCGTATATTAGCAATAATATATATATTCAGAGATAGAACTAGTATTTAAATAATGGAAAATCTATAAGTATATATAGTTATATATTATTTCAAACGTTTGATTTGTGTTATTTTGTTCCAATTGAAATTTTGATAGTCAATTATAGGACATATCCTATATGTGAATGCGTTCTTAATTGCTATATGTTTTTTTGTTACTCAATCATTTCTTCTTAAGAACTTCGTTAAGAGCAATTAATCTCTGATTGTATTCCATTTAAGTTTCGCAATCCGATGTTTTTGTGCCAAATACAATTCTTTATTTGATATATACCTTGATACACTCGACACAAACAATGATATCTACTCAGATGTGCACTTATATATCGATGTCTAAGCTTTTCAAACCACCAGAATAAGTATATTCTTTGAGAGACTATTTTAAGTGCTCTGATCAGCACATAATTATTCTGTTAGAATTGAACTGATAGTGATTAAACTAACAGTGGAAAATACTGCACAGGAGCATAGATTAGGCACCGATTAATTTATTCATAAAAAGTCACTTTATTAATATTAAGTTACAAGTATTTTAAGTATTGATATAAATAAATTAATATACATAATATACAATATTTTGCAGAACTTTAATTCTGATCCACTGAGCCCAGAAGTTAAAATTCAAGCATTGGCCGGACCAATGAGTAAGGAGCAAGCTACGGTAAATTACAATTTTTTTTATATTATTTAAATATAATTAAAAAAAAAAAACATTCTATTGCAATTTTTAGAAATTTTGTCGTCGCTGGAAAACGCCACCTCGTGTTGGAAGTAACATCACATCACCACTTGTCAATAATGCTTATATATCGCCAATTAAAATACGCAGTAATATGAATACACCAGTTAAGGGTTTTGTGACTAATGACGGCACTCCAGCTTCATTAAAGAGAAGAGCATTGTTTGCTGCTACACCACCAAATTCACCCATAACAAAAATGGTTACTGATGATGAAAACTTGATTGACAAACAAAATGGCAATCATAAATATACCGAAAATCTCGAAATAGCTACAAGTATCGAAGAAATGTCAGTAGAAAAAGAGAAAAATAATAATGAACAACAGCAGCAGGAACAACAAGTGCATTTTCCAGTTGTGAACAAATCTCATGGTTCTATGTTGCGTGCTGCATTATGTCCTAAAACACCATTGCTGGTAACAAAACAAGAAGCATTTTTCACTTATCGTGAGCAATACGCCCCTTCACCTGTAGCTCTAGATATAAGTATGAATAATTCATTTCTTCCCGAGCGTGGTATATATGACACACCTGGTTATACGGAACGTCATATTAAATTAACTGATACTGAAAAGGGTTTAGAAATGTTAGGACGCGAATTGGCTAAAGAAAATAATGTGGACTGGCGTGAATACTGGGATTTTCTGGATTCCTTTATAAATATTACTTCGGATGAAGGTTTGCAAAGATTTGAAAATTACTTAGCGCAACGCTTAAAACAAAAGGAACTTAACAATAAAACAGCTAAAGCAGTGGGTTCATGTCCTTTAGTATTAGATGATGTTTGCAATGCTTTAGAAAAATTGGGCATTTCGAAAAATGGTAATAATTATGCTACACAGAATGGCTTTAGTAGTGAAAGAAATTCTGAAAACAATAGTGCAGCGGCCAATATGGCATCAACCGCTACTACACCTTACACATGTGTAGAAAAATCGTTACAAGTATTCGCCAAACGTATGACCAAAACTATTATACACAATGTCGATAATGTTGTATCCATAAATGATACTCTACTCTCTGAACTTAAAAGACTGAAATCATTGATATGTAGCTTTAAGGAGGATACGCGCTTCCTTGATGTAGAGTTCTCTAAAGTTCACTCACGTATTGCAAATTTAATATCAATTTACTTGGATAACTCGCAAGAAATCTCTATGACAATGACAAAAAAAGTAAATATTTCTATAATGAATATATTTTCTCATTACATACCTACCATTAACGTATAATATATTTGTAGATAAAAGGCATAATGCAAAATCTTTTGCTTACACCTGGTGAACGTCGTGAACATATAGAATGTATATGCCTCAGAATTAAATATTTGCTAGATAATTCTGGTAAGTTATATTTTAATTAATACTAAAGTGTGATTTTTTTTTAAATAAATATATTTTTAATTTTTAGTGCAACAAATACAACCGGAAAATTTGAAAACGGAGGCTATATGCGCAAAAGTCTGGCATGATGAAGCAGATTGTAAGTGCCAGTGGGAATCGAATTTAAGTCGCAAAACTTCACGTCGTAATCGTATGGAAGCGCGTTACAGAAGTAATCAATCCAAACTTTCAGACAAGAGTTTGCCAAAAACTGCCGAGTTTCCGCAACAAGCAAGTGGTGAACAATTATTGCAAAACAGTTCTACGGAAAATGATTCTTCTGATGATTTAGAATACGAAGATGTATTTTGGGTAAATATAATTATGAATAAATTTATAAGTTATATATAATTGTTATAATTAACAAATAAAATTTCTATTTAGTCCGATTATTCTGCTGATAGTGAGGATGCGGACGAATGGTTCACTCCACCAGATTCGCTATCTCGTTGTAGTATTATGGATGAATCAGATGATGGACAGCCTAAAATTTATATATATGGGTAAATATTACATGCTTTAAAAAAAGAAACGAAACAAAACAGCACAAATTTGAAAACTGCAATTTTTAGAATCAGATTTTATTACATATTATAGAATCATATTTAGAATCAGATTAATATTATTATATATTATAGTAAAAAACATATTAAAATGATTTTAAATAAAAATACATTAATTAGAATGTGATTGAGTTACAATAAAATATTATGAAGTGGGATTAGGGTAGGATACGTAGGTCTTAATTTAAGCTACAATGGGGTGAGATGAAAAAACAGAACCACTTCAAAGCTTGAAGTTATAGAATAATAGGACTCGATACGAGAGGGATGAAGGTGTGGGTAAGTCTTTATTGAAACCAACCTACGTTGAGATAAAGAAACCAGGGTCGAAGCCTAGACCAAGAGGACTAAAATTAGAAGGGATATGAACTTGTTTATAATTTATAAGTTGTAATAATTAAAATTATTTAAAAAAATTGGGGATTATGTTTGTTTTCACTAACGTTGTTCTTGCGCTGACTACCTACCAGTTCAGGTAAATCTCTTGATCTGTCGTATGAACATTATTAGTGGTATCACAGCGGGTCATTTTTTGTACTCAAGTACAAAACTTACGAGTGCAATTTCTCCATTTCAACCTAACCTAAAGGTGGTAAAGCGATAATTTAAGAGCTTTTAATAATCTGATGTTATGATATGTAGGAGCTGCAATAGTACTATAATAAATAACTATATGTTTTGCTAATTAAATATAATTTTTAGTGACGAACCTTCAAAACGTGATTTAGATGTGTTAAATGCTATATTTCATATTGATATTGACAAGACACTATATCCGAATATTGATACTTGGAAAAATACACTAATGCGCCACTCAAATGAAGAAATGGATTAGTAAGTTATTATAACATTAAATCTCGCATTAACTTAATTATTTTCTGTTTTATTTTTTTTGTTTTAGCTTCCCTTCGCCAGTAATTAAAAAATCTCTTTCTTTTAGTGCGCAAAATGTTACTAAACAAAATGTACAAATAAAGAAACTTTCGTCGCCTCAGCTACACTACACAAGCCAAACGTCACAATCGCCCCAACTGCCAACGCAGAAGCGCCTTTTTATGTCGCCGTCATTGAGTAATAAAGCTCCACAAAAACAAAATCTACCGCTGCGTACTCCAATTAATAAATTGCGTGGCTTATTCTCCACATTTCGTGAAAATGTGGACTCCACTCCTATGTCATCTGCGTCATCTATATCGTCATTGTCGCCAGATACATTTTCAGTTGATGATACTAAATCATTGTCACTGTTAAATATGTCTACACCAGAATAAGAATTTATGCATAATATTTTTATAATTTTATATATATTTTGTTTTTTATATTACAATTGTTTTTAATTTAACTTTATTGTTAGCTATTGGTTGAGTTTAAATTATAATTTTTAAAAAGATACTTTTTAATAGTATAATTTTAATTCGTTATATTTTTATATATTTTATTGTGAATTTAATGCCCTGGCGCTACTCTCTAATCTTATAGATATATGATAATGTTATAATTTATATTAAAGTTATTTTGCACTGATTTTATATACGAAAATACTTAATTAATTAATTACACTACTTAAATATGTTTGTCTTCAATTCATACTATGCATTTTTTTAAATATATTTTAATAAATTAATATTTAATATTTTACTTAAGCTTTAAAACTGATTTAAAATGCTTAAAACATATTAAAATTTATATAATTTGTTATAACAAAATTTACATTTAAAATTTTTTTTAGAAAAACAATTCATAATTAGTTATTACTTTTTTTATTTATAATTTTGGTTCAAAGAACTACAAAAACAAAAAAAACTTTAAAATTTAAAATGCATAATTAAGCGTAATTCTAAATTTTGCTAAACATATTTGTACTTCATTTTTTGCAAATATATTTTTTCTAATGTAATGTATAAAAGCGTGTTGTAGTATTCTAGGCTAAAATAAAAATTGTGTTCGTCAAGAAATTGTATTTACTTATTTAAAAACATAAATAAAAATTCAAATATTTTTGTTCGCGCGAATAAAACAATTTGTTTATAAACAATCAATTTACCATTTTGTATGAATATAAATAAAATAATATATAAATAACTCTATATATAGATGGATTTTATTTAAAAAATATATTTAAAAAATTTATAGTTGTAAGTATTTGCATTATTGTTGTTAATATTAATTTTATTGTAAAATATATCTTTCCACCGTTTTTATCAATAGTGTAACCCCAATTGGGACTAGAAACTGTGTATTACTAATAATCCTCACTGCAGAAGTTGTGGAAATCTGCAGGGAAAAGCAATCATTAAACACTTACTCTGTGAATGCTCGGCTTTAGTGTCCAGAAGTCATAGGTTTTTTTGGTACATATTTCTTCGACAGCTTATCAGACTGTTTATCGGTAAAGATGGAAGATCTATTAAATTATCTAAAATCGGCGGGATGGATTTAGTCTGTATTCATATATCCCATAGGCTTTTGCAAGAAATGTGGTGGCACTAACTGGAATAAACACAGGTTCTGCAAATGCTTTTGAATGGCAAACGATTTTCAAAGATATTCTACATGAAAGATTGGAATTTTTGGTTCTGATTCCAGAATGACACTACATCAGTAATTATATAAAACACATATCAACTCTGAGGCAAGCAGTATATTATTTTATAGGTCCGCGGATAAATTTTTTATACTCTTAAATTTTTAATAATACAAATTTTTAATTTTTGTTATAAATTTTATTAATGATACGCTTTTTACGATTTAAATACATATGTTCTACATTTTTATATCGACTAAAGTTTTTTTTTTTCATATATATTTATAGATATATATAAAGACTTACTTATGAAACATGATTGAGACGTAAGAGGTTTTTATTTTCGATTTGTAACATTTATGTCAAAATTTTTCTTTTCACAATAATATTGAAAACTTAATTATGAAATATTTTGTACATCCTTTATAGAATAATCACAAGTATAACAAAAAAAATTAAACAAAACAATTTTTTTTATATTTTTCAAAAGTTTAACTGATATATGCAGTTGTTTTTTTTTTTTAATTTTAATATTTTGCTTTTGCTATAACGTTTTAAGTTTTTATAATTTAAATATTTTTTTCGGAATACTTTAAAATCATTTTACTTAGGTGATGTAAAGTTTTCATAAAAGTTTTTGTTAACTTTTTGCTTATACAACAATTTTTTTCATTCCACACTGCGGTAATGTATATCTTTATGACGTAGAAAAATTTGTTTCTAATTTGAGAGTCACAAATGTTTTATATATAAGTTTTTTTTTATACGTATATTTTTTAACAATAAATTACCCGTTTTATAGTTAGAAAAATTTTATATTTTAGTTTTGTTTCTTTTAATTCTTTTTTTTCATTTATTTTAATATTGTTTAAATAATAGAAAGTTTTTGCTTTTAAACAATAATTTTTTTTCTACATATATATTTACTATATGTTTTCTGTTATGTATACACAATTAAAAATCTCTAATTTTTAATATAATTTTTAATTAATTTAATTTGAAATGTTTGTTGTTGTTGGAAGGAATGATTTCAATCAATAATTTAACAAAGATTTAAATACATGATTGTGAAATTATAAATTTAGTTTAAATAATTAATTTAAAAAATAATGAATTGAATATATATTTAACTGATATGTAGTGTGTGTATTAAAAACTATAAAAGTGCCTGTTTACTTAATTGATTTAATTGTAACAACTAAATCATTCGAAAATAATAAATAAATATTAAATTAAAACAATAGAAACAAATTAAAACATGAAATATATATACAAAATTAAGATAATAAAATAATGAATTTCTTTTAGCAAAACAAATATAAAAACACGAAATTATTATACGGATAAAATAATAATAAAAAAAGCTTAATATAGTTATTTTAACATATAAATAAATTAAACAAAAATTTGTTAAGTTTATGAACTATATAAATGAGTAAAGTTCTTATAACGAAAATTATATTAACAATTTAAAAATTAAATTAAATATATTATAAATAAAAAATGTTAAATTATTATTAGTTATACAAAAATTGTTAAATAATATATATTTATAGATATAAATATTAAGTTTTTATATCTGAAATAATATTAAAAATTTAAAAATAAAATTAAAAATACTATAAATTAAAAAATTATAAATTATTATTACAAATTAATAATACAAAAATTATTTTATAAAATTAAAATTAAATTATTTTTAATTAATTTCAAAATTAAATTTAATATAACGCTTTTAAATTGTATTAAAAACATATTAATAAGATTCTTAAATTGATTTAAATAATTATTAATTATTTAAGTTTTAACTTAAAATATATATAAAAAAAATTAAAGCTTTGTATGTTTAACGGTATCCGTCCAATAATTTTGTATTGTCATCGCTTCCAATGAATTCAAAAACGAATCATTATCTAAGCTGTACATCTCATCCGAGTTATCCTAAAAAATAGTAGAAAAAGAAATTAATTTAACAGCTCAAAAAATGTAATAAAACTTATATCATAAAAGTAAGTTTTTACTAATTTCCTAAGGCCTTTAACTAAGAACTTCTCAGTGTAATCCTAACTCTCGATAAAGTAATGATTCATAGTTTTCAGACTATTAGTACTATAATAGACAGACAATAGTAACGAAATGGAAAAGCACTAAAAAAGAATAAACTATGGTCCTTCTTTTCGTGTTCTGAGTTTCTATTAGATCATTGGATATCAAATTATAATATTCATAATTATAATCCATAAATTATGGAATGCTATATCCTACAATTCATAATAGGATATCAATGCCTTAATGCACGTACCAATTTAAGCCCAATTAAGCTTTGGTTCCGTCAGATTGAAGTGGGTTCGTCTTCTTCGCTTTAATCCATGTTAATTTCAATTAAAATCCCACATATTTATAACCCAATATTGTTCACGAACAAGCTCCCTTCTTCTTTATACTACTTTTATCCAACCATATCCTAACCCATGTATTCGTATTTGGGGTTATCTTCATTGGCTACGACAACAGCAACAACATTGAAGTGTATTATGCCTTGAGTTAGTTTTTGTCTTTGAACCAATGGAAAAGACTGGATCTTATTGTTGGAACAAAGGCCAGCAAACAGAAATATCGAGAGAAGTACTTTCATTACCGTCCCGAATATCGGGACTATCGGGACTTTCATTACCGTCCCGCAGTTACTTGTTAACATCAACACAACCTTCATTAAACGCTTGATTCTCATGTAGTTGTTCAAAAACAGGCTAATGAACAGAAGTTTCGAGAATAATTGGGTGAATGTCCTGAAGTGACTTATAAATATCAATATGACTTACAATAATCGTTTGATTGTTATATGGCTGCTAAATGGAAGCTTAGCCAGGAAAAGTTCTTAAAATTAACAAATAATTCTACTTAAATAAAAATATATTAAAACGTTTTTGACAGTTGATGTGTTGTTGGATAATTGGATAATGGATAACTGTATGTAGTCATAAGTACAACTAAATCTTTTGATTAGCATATTTCGAAATTAATTGATACAATGAATTCTATTTTATGGGTATTTTGTATTCTATACCCATATTCTATTCCATCTATAACTTCAAATGAATTCTATTTTAAAAAAATAAACTATTTACTAATAATGCAAACGAATCCTTACACTTACACGCATTGTGCTATCATCGATATAGACACTTGAATCAGGTTCACTTAGCGCCTGTGGTTTATTCAAATATCGACGACGATAGAGCACTATGCCGATGGTACCGATTGTACAGCAAACACCAAACACCGTAAAACAGATTGCTGATATTGCACCAGCATCTAGGAAATAAGTACGCTGAAATGATATAAATAATATTAAATATAAAATTATTAATAATTCTAACATATACCACACACCTGTATAGCTAAAGCTTCAGAGGATATATTACTTTCCTCAGCATCGAAATCACTTGGTGCCGTTGATGCTGAACGTGCCAACAAACTCTTTGAGTCACTTGAGTAGTTGATATAACGATTATTGTATCTATACTCTGCTGACAACACTTTTGATTTACGTGAACGATGTTCTGTTTCAGCGCGACGCAGCTCATCTTCTCGATTGGCATTCTCTAAAGTAAAAGGTGCCACCTTCTGTGCTGTGGTCACAGTTACCTCATTGATGTTGGCGGTGGCTAGTGTGGGTGGTAGTTGTGCCGTCATAACATTGAACCATTGCACAATCGTGGAATGTGAACTCTCACTGTCGTGTTGTTTTGATGCTGCATCAGCATCTGGAGTAGCTTGAGTAGCAACTGTAGGTTGCGATATTGACACATTGGCTAGATTTTCTAATGTGGCATTGTTTTTATTGTTTGTGCTAGAAATAAAATTTAGATTAATTAAAAATAAATTTATTATAAATTAAGTTTTATTTTTCTATTTTATTGTAAATTTTTATCAACCTTATTGCACTACTGAAATTTGTGTAGTTATTGAGCAATGAAGGCGCCTCATCACGTTGCAGTTTTACTTTGACAAAATTATTTGTTGTCTGCTTTTTACTGTCGTCTGCACTTTTAGTCTCCTCTACTGGCAGATCTTTTGTTTTGTTTTGTATTTCAGCGGAACGTTTAAATGCATCACCATTATTATAATCACCAGATTCTGCATCCACATCGTCATCCATAGTTATATCTTCAATATCAGTTTTATCTGGATTACTTGGTTCATCATCGATCTCTAAATCGATTTTATCTACTATTTTATTCTGTGTCTCATCTTCTGTGCTCAATAAGGTTTCCACACTTCTTATGGAAGGTGTTACATTCTGTAATACAGTTTTCTGTGGAGTTGTGGTATGTTCCAGATTTTTATCTTGTGACGGTGTTGCGGTCGCCCATGTCAATATTGCGGTAGTCTGATAGAGTTTGGTGACTGTCTTCTGTGCCCCGGTATTCTGATTGTAATCTAATGAAATTTCTTGACTTGGATATGTGTGTACAATTGTAATGAATAATAGGATATCTATAAAAATAAAACAAAAAGAAATATATATTAATTGTTTGTAATAAAAAAAACAACAACAAAAAACTTACTGCTTAGCAATGTTATCCAGAACCAATGGGACCACCAGTAGAAGGTCATGATGCGGCGCGTTGTGTGATTTTGAATTTAAATTCTGCAATGAAAGGAAAATAAAGAAAAATTTTTAATTTAATATTTTATTACTGTTTAAACAAATAATAACATTATAAGATTATATGAACTTGAATTACGTCATTGGTTTACGCAATTTAATATCACATAAAACTTGACAAATTTGCTTTGCAACGCGGCGTTGCACAAATTTCGTAGGCCGCAGCTACTCGAGCTATAAATTTAATCACCTCTGCGGCGTGTCTAAAATTTCATATTTAATGTCATTCGTTATGGATCGACAACTTTTCATAGTTTTCGACGGTCTCTTGGTGGCTTCTTCACGCTCTCTTGTGTGTGTTCACGTATGTGAAAAACTATACCACCGAGCTACGAAAGCTAGATTTTTAAGTATGCGGATTACATATAAAAAAAAAATCAACAAAACAACGTAACAAAATAAACTTAGTTTGCATATTCAAAGTCTTCAATTCTCTCCCTCCGGGTTATGTGATTTTCCGGTGTGTGAAAATTCTATTGTTCTTAACACAACAAAAAATTATACTTGTAGATATGAAAACAATAGTTGACCTTTACGAAGCAAACAATTTGTAACTATTGGACGAAATGACAACCAAATGAGATATTTTTAAACAACTAATGAATTAATTATCATTTTGAAAAGGTTAAATTTTGTTGATTATTAAAATAATATTATGAATAATAAATGTTTTGAATACATATATATATATATATATATATGTCAGAATAATTGCTATATAATGTATGCATAACTCAAATACATATAAGAGGAAAAAATTTACATATACTATAAAACCAATTTCAATATAATTACACGCTTTAAGGTAGGTACTACAGGCTGGCTCTTTAGCAACGCATAGATCCTAAGAGCATAAAAAAGAGGAATGAGAAAGTTCTACTTGGAATGTGTAGTTTACTCACTGAACTTTTCCAATCCGTAACCGCTTAAAGATTTCTATAGACCTGCCAAAATGATTTCTGTAAAATGAGACAATATTTTTGGTGGTATCATCTAGTTAAGATCAAAATTGAAAAAATGACAAAATTATCCATACAATGGATGTCGGGTTACTGATCTTGGATTATTCGCTTGAACCTTTCTCAAACTTTGTTAATATGATTCACATAATACAAGTCGTACTGTTGGTATTATTGAGGGATCGTATTATCAAACTAGCATACTCCATACAATGGATACCGCGATTACTGATGTAATATGATTTACACGATACAAGTCAAACTGTTGATAAACAACATTAGTTACATACATTATTATTCTAGTTACATATTATTATTCTAGCATGAAAACTAAAAAAATGGAAAAATTTACCGTACAATGGGTGAGTCGATTACTGATTTGAGGTCTAAATCATAATCGCTAGAATATTTCTAAACCTTACTATGATTTACACAAAACAAAGCCTAGCATAAAATATTTAAAATTGGATAAATTCTCTATGCGATGGATGCGGCGATTACTAGACTTATGTGAGATTCTGAATCAATAAACACTTTTAAAATTCTGTTAAAGTTTAATTTTCTCTAAAGAAGTCAGACTTTTCAGATTGCGGTATAAGGCCTCGAGATTTGGCAATAAACATTTGGGCAAACAATGGGTTGCGAATTAATGATTTTCTCCTAAAATCACAAATACTTAAATATATCTAAGGACTTTTATAGAATAATAACATATAAGTTAGCCAAAGGGGTTTCATCTTCAGTTTTAAGATCGCTGTTAAGATTGCTTCTTGTTCTCCGGAATGTAGTAATGAAATCATGTTTCTTTTTTCTAAGTTTTGATTCGTACCAAAGGAAAGATTTGATAAAATAAGATTGGACTATTGAGAAATCGAGGATCATCTAGACTTCAACATTCCGAAATGTAAAAATCTGATTCTACACTTTGGAGAGAGAACAAATAAGAATCACAACAGTGTATTGAGAAAATTGAAAACTAAGACTGTGCTGTCACTCACTAATCTCTAGTCGACGATTGTCATTAGTTAGCGATGCCAATTGGCGCGTTGTTGTTGATGATTTTTATGAAAAAATACTTAAGTTTTAAGTTCAATATCTGAAGGATCTATCTATATATACTTTTAACGAAGTCTGTCATAAAAGCGTTGCACTTAGGAAGCTGTAATCGTATTGATGAGACGTTTCAAGGGGTATGTATTAGTTCTCATCTATGATATTATTGTGTTATTTAAAAGACTAGTACAGTAAGCAATACATATTAATATATAATATTTTAACTTTGGGAAAAAATCAGACAGCGCTGTTATTTTTTGATCTATTTGATTTTATTAGTTTAAATTAATCTCATAAAATATATTAACTTCAATACTAAATTTTTCCGCTGGAATCTTTTTAGTTGAAACTAGCTCCTTGAATTCATATTATATGAAAATTATTTGCTTCCATCATCTCCTTGACAGATATGGGACAGAATGATGCTAATCCTGTACTTGACTCTAGACTTCTAAGAGACTGCTGGTAGCTGATTATTTGTAAAAGTATAGATATCATTATAGAATATCAAAATATACCACCTAGGATGTCTCATGGATATTATAACCTAAAATTTATTGATTAACTTTATATTTTCATACATTTTCACCTAGGTCAATATGTCAATAAAAGCTTTAATAAAAACATGTAACTATTAAAAAATAAAATATATTTTATTTTTAATTAAATATAAATACTAGTTATTACTTATTTGGTGTGAATCAACTTTAATGTTTATTCAACCTCTGATGTCAATTTAATGAAACTAAACTAAATCTACTAAACAACTTTTTGCTTATGAAATAAATTATTACATATTTAATTTTTATTATGCTATATACTTTTTATATAATTTTTTTTTTAAACCGAAACAAAAGAAAATTCAACAGATATTTTTCACTAAAATAATAAAATTATATAATTTAAATATGATCAAATAATGTACGAGAACAAAGGAAAATTCTACTTGGTTAACATGTGTGACATATTAAATAACATCTACAGTAACAAAAGTTTTGAATAGTTTTCTTTTTTGTGTTTATTATAAAAACTGAAAATAAAAATTTTTAATAATATTTAAATTTTAAGCGTTTTATTAGAAAACGTGACATATAAAATGTCAATGGTTGCGTTGAATGGATGATAATATGAGCTTCATAAACGCATATGTTACCCACATATGTTGAGGCGTCAACCGACAGGCTGCCCTACTTAGCACTATCTAATGTCAAAATAATCTCTAACCGCACAGGAAGGTACACATACCTTAGATCAGTCATCGAATAATCACGAAGTTTTTGAGGAATACATAAATTAATCAGTGAGAAAGATGGGACTCTGCAGAAAGCCCCCAGCTATTAAAGGGTAAAAGTGTTCAGATGCTCTGACTCGGAAAAAACTCAACATGAACATGATCTCATTAATAATTGTATTAATTTAGTTCTTCTACGACTATAATTATTATATCATTTTAATTACTATTGATTTAATTAAGATTTTACACGTGAACATTATAAACTTCTAAGTGCAATATCCGTCTTAATCCAGTAAATCAATCTAATTTTGCGTCATATATATTTTCAGTGCTTTTATTGCACAACTCAGAGTTTAAATTAACACCTCCATGATAATTGTTCCAATAGACAGACAGGTGAGTACAAAACACACTTGGGTTCTTAATTAAATTTTCACAATAACAAATATATTAAAACTAATGAAGACTAAAGCCGATTTGATTATGTTTATTGGGTCAGAAAAGTGAGGCAATGCAGAATGAAAAGTGCGTTTATCAAAGTGTGTCAAGCCAAGTTAATCAATAATACGAATTGGTCAATTGGTGTTTAATAAATAGAATTAAATACTTAAAAAACACTGTTTTTTTATTACTTAAGTAATAAATTATTTGATAAAATTTTTATTTATTAATACATTTACTTCCAATTATTTTATTTGTTGTGCATTTATTTAGTTCAATCTTTTTTTATTTCCATGCGCATCAATCATTATTATTTTTTATTTTTAATATTTTTATTTTAATGGAAATACTATTTTTATTATAGTTGAACATCAAAAAGAGAAATTGATATATTTCCATTAATTTTTTCTAATCCCTAAAGCATGGCTGGCATAAAATCGCTGTAAATAACTCAACATTAACCCAAAAACGCAGATTAACCCAAAAATGGAGAAAAACTCATACTTGGAATTCAGGCAAAAGAAAAGCATTTGGACTAACAATGGAGCCCCAACCATTTGATGTCTTATCAACTGTTAAACTATCTTATATCTCTCGCTTTGCTACTGAATTAGTTAATTTATAAGCCATGTAATTTCAAAATAATTATGCCAACAAAAATCTAATACAATAAGATGTACATTGCAAGACACTGAGATAAAAATGGCAAAATATACATTTCAACTTTTTCCGCTCTTTTCTACAGATTAAAGTAATGAGAATTTTTTATTTATTAACGTGGGCCCATGAAAGCAGCAATTCTTCTTCAGAACTTTCAAAATTACTATTTTTGGCTAGAGCTACTTGTGAAGGCGTGTGTAGGCGTTAGACATTTTGGAGACTCACTGCGACTGAATGACGTTCTTAATGGGTTTTATACTTTTTTTTACTTATTATTAAAATTTATAAAAACAAAGAAAAGCTTTTAGGGTTATTAGAATAGCATTTAAGATAGAATTTAAGATAAATAAAAACGCTAAACATAAAAAAGATAGTAGAAAAAAAAAAATAATTTAATGAAGATGAATATTAACCTGAAATCGCTTTATTTGCTACAGATTGCCTTCATTATACAACGGAAGTTTTTTTATTATTATATTTAAAAGAATATTGTTATTATAATTAATAATATATAAAAATATTGGTAGTATTTTACAAGAATTGTTTTTTTTTTTTGCATATATTAATAAAATGTTAAGTTAATATCGGCGATTCTAGAGTTTCACTAAGGTCAGTTTGTTTCTCAACCAGTGCTCCGTGAGATGGTTAAAAATGATCCGTGAATCAAACTTAACGGGTATGGATACATAGCTTGAATCTTTACTTATCAGAAAATAAGCACAAAAAAATTTCCAAGTAATTATCTACCTATTTTATAGCCTATATAATGTACTTATGCACTTCTATAATTCATTATACATTATACTCAAGATGCACAAAGCATATTAAAATAATCATACAGGTTATTATTCTTGATATTTGTGGTCCCTAATAGAAATAAAAATATTATAGTGGTCCTTATAGTCAAAAACAGTTTGGCAACCACTGATTTAGGTCACTTGTTGTACCTTCTCAGGGTATCACACCTTTAATCTTTAACAAAACCTAAAATGTTGTTGAGAGGTCTTTATGGTAGCTAAAATTCTCTAAAAATTGAGTTCCTAACATAATAAAATACAGTTGCGCTGAACTGAGATAAAGTGGATATGAGGCTTTTTCTTTGAGGATATTGATGATAATGATGTTATGAGTAATGATGATAGTGATGATAACAATAATAGATTACTATTGATATGGTAATATATTATAGTATATTAAGTACACATAAATATAATTTATTTCAGTTTCGATTCTGGAATAATTTAGTGTATCCAAGTTTATTTTTATCTCGCTTCAATAGTTCCAAACAACTTTCTAAAATAATCGATACCTTGTTGTTTTCGGTCAACTGTCAAGTAAACACGGTTTCCATTTCGAAAAAAACGTTATCAGAGATAAATACACAGGTATCTTTTGAAAGTTGCCACTTTTTAAAATTTGTATTTATTTTTCATTAGCGGCACTGTCACACTGAGCATATTATCCTTAGGACGAGTGAGAATGACATCTTGGTCCTACGAATTGCTCAGCCGATATGTTATATTGTTCAAAATTTAAGTTAACTCATTTTTTTAATTAAGTAAGCTTTGTTTATAGAAAATATATTATAAAAAAAAATATTTAAAACTAAAAAATCATTATAATATATATTTTTTTTAACATTTTGAAATAATTTCAGTACGAAAATCTAAAATTTAAATGTTCGCGCAAACAAAATACTTCAACATCTCATTATGAACAGCCAGGAACAGTAAGCCTCACTGTCCCCACTGAATTATTCCAATACTCACCTACTGAAATAAAATAAAATAAAATAAAAGATGGAAACATCTAGTATCGATAACAAACTAGCTATAGTGGCGAATATAAGAGTAGCACTTTTAACAAAAAACTATGAAGAAATGACTGACGCCCTTAGAAGATTGGTCGATTATGCACCTGAACTTAGTTGGGAAGAATTGGAATGGTTGTCTGTGGCATATAAGCATTGTGTCAATTCACGACGTAGTTCTTGGCATACTGTGAGGAATGCACTAGACAGAGCTGAGTTATTAGGTAATGTCGGAAATATTACTATAGCTGAAACCATGTTGAGAGATATTGAAAAAGAAATGCGTTTCCATTGCAAGAATATACTACAGATGTTAGAACAAAAAATTATACCAAATGCCAAAGACGATAATACAATGGTTTTATGTCACAAATTAATAGGTGATTATAATCGCTGTTTAGCCGAATTCGAAGTTACACCAGCAATATTCACAGAAAAAAGTTTTAATGCTTATCGAGAAGCTTATAAAATTGGAACTAAAAAATTAGAAGCAGTAAGTCCAGTGTACTTGGCTATGGTGCTCAACTATTCGTTGTTTCTATATGAAATTTTAAATGAACCTAAAGATGCGTTAGATATATTAGTGAATGTCCGTAATAGAGTTGTAATGCATAAAGATGCGAAGAAACTTGATGAAGAAACTAATATGATCTTTGAGCTTATAAATCAAAATATTGGTCAGTGGGGACAAAGAGAGGAGGCAAAAAGAACGCTGAGAACTGATAATCCTATCACACTTATTTAAAAAGTTATTTAAATGCCGCAAATCTTAACTTAACAACAATAACAATAAAATTCAATATACAGCTAGAGAAAGAAGGGTTTTATTTCTATTTAATGAAGTTTAATTTATTTGATTAATTTATTTAATTAATTTTTTATTTTGTATTTACAATTTCATTGATATAAAAATATTATGTGCAATTTTAATAAACATTTTAAGATCTATGAGTTTCAGGGAATTTAGAAATCTTATGACTTACAAAGCTTTAAAGTGCTTTAATACTCGTATCTAATTTAGTTTGCTAAATGGTCTCAATAATTTGACAAATATTTATTAGTTAGTTTAAACCTAAAGGATTTCAATAAAACATATCAATATCAATAATGATATAGAAATATATTGTGTAAATATATATTGATTTTTTGTTATTGACCTTTAAATACACTTTCCGAGGGCTTAGAAAAGTGTCTTCGGGCTAGACAGATAATTAGATGGCAACGGTAGTTAGATATTAAGAATTGGGCTTTGCATTACCACAGGGAAGTCCAAAACCATTATAGCCGATCCTATAAAAAAATTTTAGGTCCTATAACAAAACTGTGGGAAAGCGTAATTGTGCTCATAGAGAGTCACTAAGTAAACTAACAGCTATACGGAATTGGAAACCCATTATGTCGTTTTATCTTTAATGCACCAATTGCAATACATAGATTGCAAATCTATGTACAATAAATATTTAAGGAAGTGGACACATATAGCAAATATACGCATTTTAAAGGGTATCGGACAGTGATAGAGTAGAGCAGTTTTATTTTCTCTTTCCCTCTCTGATCCATACCCATTGTATAATTGTTAAAAGGATGTTATATCCGAACTGGTTAGCTAATTTCTTCGAACAGAAACATAAGAAATTAAGAGTTTATTAATTAATTTATTGCAATCTTTAATTTAAAAATTTATTAATCTTACCAGCAGTTTATATAATGTTTAAAGCTTTTATTTTGTAACTTTACAAGGTATTTAGTAATATTTATTTAAAAATTACTTAAACGAAGTTTTACCACTGCTAAATATTTATCAAAAAATATATATGTTTTTAAATTAAAAAACCAATATTAATTTAAAAAAAAAACAAATTTTAGTTAAATAAATTTTTATATAATAAATAAAAATCAAATTTACTAAGTCGTCGACCTTGTTTTAATGCCGCACTACTGGACTTAGACTTAAATGTACATTTGTGGAAACAAAGGTTCATAAAACCATATTCGTAGTTGATTAATATGGCAACTTCATTAAGGCGGTATATGGCAATAAAATGTTTATAAATAAATTTTGAAAAATTAATAAAAAAAAAGAAATAAATTGTTGGTGGCTGAAGATGTACAATTTTTGTAGCTTTAAAAACAAATATTAAGAAAAAAATGTAAACATACAAGGAAGCCTGAAGTGTTAATACTCGTAAAATATGGAACTTAACATTTTTGGTGACTTCATCTGAGTTTTTTAATTTTATTAAATTTTTACATGTTCAGTGAGTCAGCGGTAATAATTTTTTTTTTTATTTTCTTGAAGTACAAATACCTAAACTGCGAATATGGAATTTATTCTTAAGCGAGTCGTATTGAAACTTTTTTTAAAAGTTTTTAATCTGCGAAATATCCGAGAAATTTAATGACTAAGTAGCTTAAAAGAAGGTTGCTACATTATTTTTAACACAACTTAAAACAAAAAGTATTCAAATATTTAAAATGTAAATAAAATAAAAATAAATATTAAAATTTTTTTTATATCATATGATGCGCAATAGTTCATTCATATATATAAACACATGCACATCATATACTTGTTTTATAAATACAGTTTTTTTTTATTTAATATTAATTCATTCACACCCACTTTAAATTATAAAGTATTAGAAGTCACTTTCTTTAAAAATCTTCATTCACTTTTAACATTTACTATTTAAGTCAAGTTTTTTATAAAAGTATCTTTTAGTAAATTTAACTAATCTTTATGAGTCTTATATTCAGATATCTAAAATCTATAAAATTTAGTTCATAAGCTGACATATGTAGACAAATACACTCCTTTATCTATACTCCACATTAGCGAAAATAATTATAGGTAAATAAAATGATTAGCATATATTGGAATATTATTGTTATGATCAACATAAATTAAATAAATTATAATAACAAATTAGTAAAATAGCTAATAAACTTGTACTGTTCATAAAACAGAGCGTGAGTTTAGATGAGTCATAGATGGTCACAGCTCAGAATAGCACTTAATATATATATTAACTAATACTGACCTTAAATTTAGTATATTATATATATATTAGTGAATTTTTTCCCAAGTGAAATTTCTAATATTTTCTTCAAAAACTCAATGAGTAATATCGGAACTATTTTTGACTCCTCATAATAATTAAATTTTTTAGAAATATTTAATATATCTTTTATTATTTCACAAACGAACATGCAATTAAGTAGTACTTTGTTAAGTCTTATTTTTTATTCTTTTTTTTTTTTTCTTATATGGTGTTAGGTTCTACTTAATCTACTTATACATTGAACTAAGTTGGGCACTGTCTCTACGCTTAAGTAAATTGAAAGGGCTTACTTTTACTTTATTTCAGTTGAATTTAATTGAATGAGGTGTAAAAATTTTAATAAATTATTTAATTATTTAAATAAATGATGCTAAGATAGATGTTAGATAATTGCAAGTTTTTTTTTTGAAAAATAATTTCTTAACTACGAATTGAAAAATTAATTACTATTGTATATCAACAAGGTCTGTAGAGAGTATTGATTTTCATCACCATCACATATGATGGTAAAATGACATATTAACTCACAAAAAGAAAGAGAATTCCTGAAGAAATTTTTTTTCTATGCATCTCACAATCAAAATAACCTAAGAGTCATCACGGGATTATTGACCGGTCACTGTAGATTGAATAGTTAACTTATGAAGCTAGAAATTCAATCCAATTCAGACTACAGATATTGTAGAGAAGAGAGCGAAACTGCATATTATGTGTTTGGGGAGTGCCAGGCACTGACGCACAAGCAGAAGAAACACCTAGGAGGATATTTCATGGATCATAAGGATTCAAGACTTGAAAACATAGGCTCTATAATGTTTTTCATTAAAGAAATCGATCTTTTAAGTCGCAATGCACTACCCCTTTTCAAATAATAATAATAAATAATGCCACAATAAAAAATAGGTATAACCTATTTATTTAAAATGATTTACTGAGTTAATTAAATCAGATATTAAAATTATTCTCATTACAAGTTAATATTAGTATTTTGTGGATAATTTTGTGTTTTAATAATATAAAATTGAAAAAGAATACATTCCTAATATGAAGCCAGTTGTAATTTAATTTAAGTAAAGTAAACCTCTTTACTTCACTCTCGTACACAGTCAATATGTAATTTAACTCATATGACTAGTGTAACAGTCGCCAAAGTGACAGCTAAAAAACGCTAAAACGAGAAAAAAAGAATATCCAATGTTAGAACAGCGCAAACATTGGATATAACATTAGAATAACCGAACGAAAGAATGATTTAACGAACAATTTCAATTAAAAACCAAAGTAAAAACACTTTCAGTGTTAATATACGCATATAAAGATGAAGGTACAAGTATACCTTCGACTGACCGGGTCACTCACTCATACTCGTAGAGGCACATGATTTTAATAACTGAACGCTAAATGTGTTTCTGTGTAATTTCATAGTTTCACAGTGAAAAAAGGCGAAAAATTAGAACAAATGCAGCAAACCATATGAAAAAAGATTAATAAAACTTTATAAGTATTTTGTTTTTCTGAAAATATTTCATAAACATTTCATAAAAGTTGTAAACATAACCAGAATGAAAGCCCTGAGCTTAAAAAAATTAATTTTAGGTTGTTGACAGAGAAAAGGGTTTCATGAAATATAAGACAGAAAAATATATACACAAAAAATACATTTAAATTTAAGCATAATATACAAGTGCGAGGGATGCTTTAAAAGCTTTCATATAGTATTAGATATTCCAAATATGTGCATGAAATGATTTAACAGCAATGTTTTCGCAATACATATTATACTGGATTCACACGAGAGTTTTATTTGTAATTTTGATGACAGCTATCTTTGTAATTTTAGCTGTCATCTTTGTAATTTTAGTTGTCAATTGTTGTTGCTTTTCAATGTAAAACGAACATTTTTGATAGCTAAAATAACAAACAAGCCTTTCGTGTGATTCCATTATTGGAGATATACTAAAATATCTGCAGTTAATTGGTGCATTAAAATTCCTCTGTATGGTATTACAATGGATCTACTTAAGAGAGCTTAATTTTTTTCTTTTTTTATTTTATTTTTAATTATATCTTTCTGATTAGAATTTGACAATTATGTAATCAAATCTCAAAAACTAAAAAAAAAATTTAAATTTATAATAAAATTAATTGAATTATATATGTCATATCAAAATTTAGAACAGAAGAAAGAAATGTTTAGCAAAATTACGTTAAGGTGGTATAAAGGTGGTCTAAGTAATTTGTTTTGAACTCTGTGTATTTTTTCGCTATTAAAAGTATATGCTGTACTCCAGAGTTCTATGCCATAGGACCAGATAGGTCTTAAGGTTCAATTATATATCAGGTCTTTATTTTCCAGACTTAGCTTAGAGTTTTTATTAATAATAATACTGACCAATGAAGCTGTTGTGATTTCAATTTTATTTGAGTTTTTTTGCTTTCAATGTGCTTAGTCCAAGTCAGACTTCTGTAAAGATGAATACCAAGATATTTTACATCCTTTGACTGGGGTATAATGTTATTATTCAACTTAACAGGGGGCACGTTTCTTTTCGTAAAGTAAACGCCATTTTGCTAGCTTCTCCAATAGACTTAAATGAGTCGAGAGACTTTGGGATGCCCTCATGTACTCACTGTTAGAACTGAGAATTGCAGTATCATCCGCGAAAGTAGCAAGGACGTGATT